GCCCCCCCCCCAAGACTATATCTTTATCATTAATCTCCCTCTATAACATTCTACGACAGTAGGCAGTCAACCTGTATGGCAAGATTTCTACCCTTGGCATGACTGGTATTTCTAAAGCCTTGAGACTTAATTCACATACTACATAATTTACTCATTGATGATACAATTCAATGGTTTTTAGTATATTCAGAGTTATGCAACCCCATCACCATGATATAATTTTAGAACATTCTCATCATCCAGAAAGAAGCCCCATCCACTTATGCCATCACTTCCTGTTTCCTTCCAACCGTCCCAGCCCTAGATAACCACTAATCTTCGTTTCCATAGGTCTGCCTACTCTGGAATTGCACATGTGGTTTTTTGTGAATGATTTCCTTCATTTAAGATGTATGACGTTTCCAAGCTGTATCCATGCTACTGCATGTATCAGTATTGGCATTCCTTTTTGTTGTTAAATAGTAGTCCATAATGTGGGTAAACTACATGTATCCATTCATCAGTTGATGGCTACTTGGGTCATTTCTACTTTTTGCCTATTATAAATAATACTGCTAAGTACATTCACATAAATGTTTTTGTGTGGATCACTACTGATCACATTTTGAGCACAATAACTGCTTCCTGTGGGAGCTGTCCTGTGCATTGCAGATATCTAGCAGTAACCCTGGCCTCTGCCCACCAGTTGCCAGTAATACTCTCCTAGAAGTGATAACCAAATACATCTCCAGGCATTGCCAAATGTCCCAAGTGTGCAAAATCACCCCAACTAAGAGCCACTGCTGTAGAGTTGTGATTTCTTCAGTGAAACTCTATGTATGTACATTAATCTTGACCTAAGATCATTGCAAAATAAATTATTGTATACTCTTAAATATGAATAAATATCTAAATATTCAATTAGTGTATTCTTTTCATTAATACCTCTCTGAATATCCTAGCTCCACTGCGGAGTTAGCCTCAACTGGCTTTCAAGATAACATTTTTATAGTCAAAATTTACATACTTCTCTGTAAGAAATTTCCAAAAGCTTCAGCAGCTGACTATACAAAATTTCCTTCCAGGCAATCTAATACATATTTTGGTCTATAATCATTTCCTTTATCAACAAATACCTATGTAAATACAAATTTGGAGGTTGAGCATGCATATTTAACCTTACAGATTCATATGAATAATTTCTCCTATCAATCCTTTTGGCATTCCAAGTTAAAAACTCATGTTAGGGCAATTAAGTTACATACTAATAGATATAGTAGTCATTCACCACCATGACATATCTCAGGTACTTCCTACTCCCCCAGACTCTTCTATCTTTCTAATCAATGGTCAGTTATCTGTTGGGATACCTGGATATCCACACGCAAAAGAATTAAGCCTGATCACTTTCTCATATCATACATAAAATTTAATTCAAAATGGATCAAAGTCTTCAATATGAAGAGTCTGTATGTAATTCAGTATAAAGAGTCTGTATGTAAGAAGCCAGTCTTAGAAGAAGACACAGGCATAAATCTTCGTGACCTTGGATTGGGCTATGAGATATAACAATAAAAGAAAAAATAAATAAACTGGACGTCATCAAAATTCAATACTTGTGTTTCAAAGGATATCGTAAAAAGTAAAATACGGCTCGGAGAAATGGAGGAGATATTTGAACATCATGTATCTGTTAAGGGACCTGTATCCAGAATATATAAAGAACTATTACAATTCAAATTTAAACATACAAATAAACCAATTAAAAAATAGACAAGGATTTCAACAGGCATTTTTTCCAAAGTAGATACACAAATGGCCCACAATCACATAAAAAGATGTTTAATACATTAACCATCAGGGTAATGCAAATCAAAATCACAATGAAATACCACTTCATATGAAATAGGATAGCTATAAACAGACAAATAACAAGTGTTGACCAGGATGTGGAGAAATTGGAAACCTCACATAATGTCAGTGGGAATGTGAAATTGTACAGCCACTTTAGCAAACAGCTTGGCAACTCTTCAAAAGACTAAACATGGGGTTGCCTCGGTGGCTCAGTGGGTTAAGCCTCTGCCTTCAGCTCAGGTCATGATCTCAGGGTCCTGGGATCGAGCCACGCATTGGGCTCTCTGCTCAACGGGGAGCCTGCTTCCCCCCTCTCTTTCTGCCTGCCTCTCTGCCTACTTGTGATCTGTTTGTCTAATAAATAAATAAAATCTTAAAAAAAAAAAAAAGATTAAACACAGAGTTTCCATATGATCCAGCAATTCTACCCCCCAGGTATATCCCAGAGAAATGAAAATATAAGTCCAAACATGAACTTATAATGAATGTTCCTAGCAGCAGCATTATTCATAATAACCAAAAAGCTGAAACAACCCAACTATCAATCAACTGATCCGTGATTACATAGAAATGTGGTATATTCTTACAACAGAAAATTATGCTTATGTAGAAACAGAAAGAAATAAAAAGAAAAAGGGACAAAATGTTCTCAACTGGTGAATCTTGGTATTAGGGCACATGGCCAATTCTTTGAATTACTCTTGCAGTATCTCTGTATGTTTAGAATTACATCAAAATAAAAAGACGCAAAAGAGAAAAGCACATTACAAAAAATTATGAATAGAGACTGATATTGGCAATTTTACATAGCCTCATTTAACATGATACCATTCTAAATGATAGAATATATTTGATATAAAATACACACTTTACAAGGTCTACTAGCTATTCTTCTACCTTAAAAGATAAATCATTTTTTAAAAAGCCAACCATTTTATATTAACTAAGTTAAATTTGATCTGTAGGTCCTCTTCAAGGTACAAAGCTAAATAATTATCCAGTTCCCTTCCCAATGATTAAACAGATTACCAAGGAGTTGCCAAGATTAGAAATTATATCAGAATTGGGTTCCTTGAAACTGATCCCTTAATTAGCACTAAAAGTGTAGCTTAGTTTTAACTCCATTGCCATGCTCTTTCTCCTACATTTAAAGGTAATGAGCTTACAGGAAGGGATACTGGACTAGAGTTCAAGTGGCCAACAAATGGCTACTATGCAAACATCTCTGATCAGATATGAATTTATCTGTAAGTCATGAAGTAGAATATCTGAAGGTCAAGATCAAGACCTACTTTTCTTTAAACAAGGAATTATTTCCTTTGGGAACACTGTAGTTGTGCTTATTATTTTCGGATGACAGGTTTTCCAAAGCTTTATCTAAATACTTTATGAAAATATTTTATGTGTGTATCTTTAGAGAAACTTTGTTTCCAAACTCCCACAGCACTGTTTCCCTTTACAAAACAGTCACTCTTCAGCCAACTACTTTTCCCCCTAAAACAGAGATTTTAAAATTGGCTCCAATATATGCAGTGTAACTTTTGTTGATTTTCCCTACATATATAATTAATGTTTTGATAGCTCCATATGGCCTGCTACTTTTTAAATCTGTCTCAAAGTTTTTCAACATCTTTCTTTTTGCTAACAAAAACTGGAGCAAAAATTATATTGCAACACTCATAGGGGAAATTTTTTTAAAAAGCAAACCTAAGAAAATATGTGCCTTTTAACAACCAAAAAGAATATACTGAAGATATAAAATTAATAATGAGTAGAAAGATGATAACACGGATAAAAGCAGAAAGTGATTAACATCCCTGTACGCTCTGCCCCACAGAGCAGTAGTTCACCGTGTCTGCCTTGAGGAAAGAAAACTGGAGAACTCAAGGTCTGAGTCAGAGACTCAATACCCTATACAGCATTTCAGTTAGTTTTCTACAGAAGTGTATTAACTTGAAAATAGAAGATAATGTTATATTCAGCACCTTTAAAATCCCACAATTTTACCAGCCAAAAACAGTAGGTAATTTCTAGTATATGAATGTAGCAACTGTTGGCTCTGTTGGAATAAAGATGAGTCTCATCCTAAATTTCTGGTATGGCCGAATATATATTTCCTATATGCCTGTCATCTGTCTTTTTCTCCTTAATAGATTCCCTAACCCTCCATACTCATGCCCCCAAGAAAAGACTGATTAAAGACATGTAGAAGTTAAATTAAATTTCTTATATATTAGGTCAAGAAAAAGGAGCATAAACAGACAGCTGATGAGCTTCTTCATTTAAGTAAACTATTAAAAGCTCAATAAATAGTAGCTAACTCCTGAGTGTTTTAAGTTTTTTGCTACATTCAATTCACTCAGCAATCCATATCCCCACTTAATATCTGGAAAAACCAAGTCTCAGTGATGTTAAGTAATTTGCTTAACATCAACTAAGAACTGAACCTAGATTTGTTTGATTCAATTACGATAAAGATGAAGAGACACCAGCTATTACTGCTTTCAATCTGTCAGTGGGCAGCAAATGTTCTAGAAAGCAAATCATAAACCTTAAACTCAGAAAGACAAATTTTTCAACTTCAATAACTGATTTTTTAAAAAGCACACAGGTACCTACAACATAACCCATTTAAACTTATTTTGTATTATTCATAACTATCTAGAAATAAAAGTTTAATATTTTTACATTAAAAAAGGTCCTCACAGAATAAACATACCACTACCTTAATATTTACATCTGCATCCATAAAGATCAAATTAGAGAATGCCAATTTAGTCTTAAGGAAAGTCAGCCAAAAAAATCCAATGTAATCACATGTTAGATGGAGGAAATGATTCAGTTTCTTGACAAAAATTTGCTTCCCACCTTCCTTTTCCTTACTAAGGAACACTGCTATTCCTTAGTTAGCAATAACACCCTTATCCACTAAATGCTTCCATTTATTTGACTCTCTTCTACAAAGTTATAAATGAAATTTTAAAACCTCTAAGTAGTCCACTGCATTGTGTATTGGAAAATGAAAAAAAAATTAATTCCATTTCTAAAAAAGCTCATTTTATTCAACAACATGCTTTATAAACCTGCAGAGATAAAGTGCTTTTAGCCAAAATTAAGTCATCTATGAAAATTACCACAAATAAATTCTTCAGTTGTTAAAAGGATATAATTTGGAGGAAGAAAGTTCCAGCTCAAGACTTGATTGGCAAGTGCAAGGTAACGCTGAAATACCGAAGACATCTGAGCATTGAGGTTTTCCCGCCTGCTGAACTCCTGAAGAACTTCAACCGTTAACATGAAGATCTGACGAAGGTCTTCTTCCTATAATAAATAAATCACATGTATTTTTCAATCAAAAGCTTATTCAATATGTATACCATTTAAGAACCATAAAATGAAATAAACAAAAACCTTAACATTTTCAAGGAAAAACACTACCTTTTTAAGAACATTTTCCATTTTTAGGCCTGCTCATAATTTATATCACAAGTATGCTTTCAAGTAACACCCGTATGAATGCATCTACTATAATATAAATGCTACTCCATAAAGAAGCTCAGTCTTTGACAACTACTAGAGAGCTGGATGGGTCAGTTGCTTTAGTGCAGAGCCCTCGGATTTAAGCCAATGCCTTCACATAACTTTACTTCAGAGCCAAACAATACATATGAGACAAAGAGCCCACACCATCTGCAATAACATTTTAAATACATGGCCCTCATTGGCATTCTGCCAGGCCTATTTTAAGGCCAGCAAAGTCCTACCAATTGAATTAGTTACATCTAAATTCAATAAGAACAAAATAAATAATCTAAGGATCTTTGGAGTGGTATTTCCTTTTTGTTTAAAGACTAGAATTAAACAAGAAATCTAAAATTGTCAACTATGTTTGCCAAATCTTTATCCTATCTTATCTTTATCCTATCTTATCTTTATCCTTTACTAAATGCTATGAAATCACAACACAAATCTTCAAGTACAGGCCACCATTCAATTAGATAAAATAAATGTTCTCACTCCATTAGGAACAGATGGTAAAATGTTAACAATCTAATAAAACATAAAAATACCAGTACCTGAAAAACTCTTTTGCAGTTACCATGGAATTCCATACTGAGTCCAATGTTGCTAGTTTTACTTGAACTTGAGAATTCACTCAATAGTGCAGTTAGAATAGAACACGCCAGAGTTTGCTGTAATTATTTGGTAAGAAACAACCGTAAGGCATGTTTTTTTTCCAATGCTTTGTTCCAATACATATTTGTTCAGAGAACATTTTCTATCTTTAGATCTTCCATTATATCTCTAGATCTTCTATTATATCTTTCAATCTTACACCTACTAGTCAGAAAACTAGTTATGACAAAGTAAAAATTAGCTCTCCTTTGTAAGTACCCTAGTAATTATAAATAGTACTTCCCCAATTTCAGCTATACAAATCCATCCACGACTTAACTCAGGACATACATCTATTCAATCATGGAGAGCAAATTACACCTCAAGATAACCAAAGTTAAATGTATTATTTCATTTACTTCACACAACAATCCATATCCCCATTTTACATTTGAACAAGTGAGATTTGGAGAGGATAAGTAATTAAGGCCAGCTGAGATCTGAATTCAGGTCTATGTTCTCATATTTGTAAAGCAAAACAGATTTTACAGCATCCAAAACATTAATGAGGTAATTCTCAGAAGTTTTTTAAATTGAAAATGAAGATGTTCCCTTTTTTGTTTTGTTTTTGCACAAATTTAGGCCATCACAAGAAGTGTAATATTTGGTTGGAGGAAACAATGGTGGACCAGGGTGCTGGAAGGGCTAGCTTCTGAGAACTTTTGGTCTCTCAGAAGTTTCTCAAAGTATTTATCCCCTAGAGTAGAACAACATCGTCAAATTCTAAAAACTCTTTTTGTGACTTGCACTTAAACATTAGAGTTCTTTGGTAAGAGTTTTATTCCTTTGTACGCTAAACAAGTTTCTAGTGATTTTTTTTTTATTTTTTACAGCATTCCAAAATTCATTGTTTATGCAAGACACCCAGTGCTCTGTGCAATACATGCTCTCCATAATACCCACCACCAGGCTCACCCCACCCCCACCCTCCCTCCCCTCCAAAACCCTCAGTTTGTTTCTCAGAGTCCAGTCTCTCTTGATTTGTCTCCCCCTCCAATTTCCCCCCACTCACTTCTCCTCTCCATCTTCCAATGTATTCCTTATGCTCCACAAGTAAGTGAAACCATATGATAATTGACTCTCTACTTGATTTATTTCACTCAGCGTAATCTCTTCTAGTCCAACGGGCTCCTAACATCAACTTACTGTTTTTACTCATAAACTATTTAGGGTCAAGGTAACAAGGATGGAGAGGATACAAATTATTTTGGCAAGTTTCCAGGGGTTAAGCAGAAATATGCACACTACCTCTGAACAACCGAAAGATTAAAGTCAAGATGATACTATTTATGCAAGCTTATACAACAGCTGAACACAGTCATACCCACCCACCAACTGCAACATCTTTGTTCACAAATGCTTCTGATGTCAGTACCTTGACCTTACAGATGCTTATCTTGGCAAATCTGAGCAAATATACATAAAATTAAATTCCTAAAGAATGGCATGAGGTGATATTTGCTGAAGCTCAATGGTGGTTACACGGATGACCAATATACTACATGTCTAATTTTGCAGATGTCTGAAACTTTCTTCTAAAAACTGTAAAAAAGAATTAAATTCATATTTGTCTCAATCTCAATTAAAATAAGCATGACTGTATAACTACTATTTATGGATGGCACCACCAGCCCATCCATTCAAGCAGTTTCTTAGACTTTGCCACACCAGGAAGCCCTAACAATAAAGAACACATGCAAATTCCTTCAGGAATCTGGGGGTACAGACCAAGCTGCCTTCAACAATGGTAAAAGTACTCTTAATATGCCTGGTTTAAACACACATACACACACACACAAACACACACGTGCACACTCACTCTTTTTAATTTTACTTTAAAATACATTTAATATAAAAATGTCCTCAAATCATCAAGAGAATTGTGTAAGCTTAACTGCCCCAGGCACATGGAGAAAGAAACCTGGTCTGAAAAACGAAGCACTAAAAACCTCTCATAGAAAAAGCAGTCTGTTACATACTCAATTCATTTTACATATTAACAAACTCTTGGAAACTCACTAGTACAATCCCGTCATTTTTTTTTCCAGTTAAGAAAATCGTATTTTAAAAAATAGGTTTCTTTTAAAATGGTTAAATAATTAAAATGCAAGGAACCAAAACCTCACAGATACATTTAAATAACACTGGGACCAACTATCAACATAGTTTTTAATATACCTAGGCTTTAGTAGAGAAAGTAGGTATTAAGTTCAAATTAATAAAATTCAAAGCAAAAAGTTAGCACACAGAAATCTAAGACAACAAGATCCTCTGATTCTGTAAACATTTTATAGCATCCTGTATTTTATGTCTTTTAACCTTGGTTTTTCTCTCATCCTTTCTAAATAAGACTTCAGTGAATAGAACATTATGAACCCAGAAGCTCTCATTAAACACAAATTTATCATTCTTAAATTATTATCTATAAAAGTATACACAAGTAATTTATAAATTCCCAAACTATTAATGTCAACCTCTATTCACCACAAAATGGCTTATTTTTAAAATGATTTCCACATTCAAATTCTCAGTAACTCAACTCTAATTAATGAAACAACCTGTACTCACAATGAAGCTTTATTTTTATGTGAAATAAACATTTCTTAAGAGTACATGCATGTGTCTGAAGTCAAGATATGAAAAAATGAGTGAAGAAGAAAGGTAAAACAATGAAAGCTGAAGACTTTATGAAGCTAATGTTACCTGGAAAAAGGAAGGAATTTTTATCATTTTTTAAAGTAGGTGCCACGCTCAGCATGGAGCCCAACTAGGAGCCTGAACCCATGACCCTGAGGCCAAGACCTGAGCTGAGATCAAGAGTCAGATGCTTAACCAACTGAGCCACCCAGGCACCCCAAAGAGAATTTTTTAAAAATAAAAGTCTCCTTTAACTACAAACATCACCAGATAAACAAGAAGCCACAGGGGGATAGGATGGCTTCATAAGCAGCAATAACGATTATCTCTCCAAAAGAGCAAACTTTCATGTTACTGAAGTAAATTTCACCCATAAAGGAAAGTGCATTCTTTCTTTTTTTTTTAAGGTTTTTGTTTTGTTTTGTTTTGTTTTTTTTGGAGAGAGAGAGAGAGCGAGCACGAAAAGAGAGCACAAGCGGGGTGGGGAAGGGGAGCAGAGGGAGAGGCAGAAGCAGACTCCCTGCTGAGCAGGGAGCCCAACACAGGGCACTGGGCTTAATCCCAGGACCCTAGGATCATGACCAGAGCCAAAGGCAGACATTGAGCCACCCAGTTGCCCCAGAAAATTACATTCTTAACAAATGATAATTAAAAACAAAACAGAGTCTTCTTATAGACACAATTCTCTTAACATAATATTGTTTTTAACTTCTTCCTATAAAAATACTATATCTTAATCTTAGAAAAACTAGAAAGTACAGAAAAGCACAAAGAAAAACTGCTCACAATCCTACCATAGAGAGGTTACTACTCTGAACATCTGTTCAGTTTTCTAATTTTTTCATTCATAGGCATACATCATTTATATATAATTACTATCACCAGTATGTATTGTTTTGTATTCTGTTTCCACTTTATACTTATGAAATAAAAAGACAAAATATTTTAAAGTAAGTTCTTTTCAAATTACTAATAAAAGATGTAAGAAATACATAAAAATGTATTATGCAGCATGGTTACAAGTATTATCAGAAACCAAATATTCTGGTGTTAACCTACCTAAAATTACCAGTTTTCAAAGAACTAAAATTCAGTAAGATAGTCTCATCATTAAAAGATATCAGTTTAATTGCTCCTTAATTTGGAAGCCCTGTAAGGATTTGAGATTAACATTATAAACATGAAATATTCCACACCACTAGGGTTCAAAGATGCCAGATTAATAAAAATTCCTCAAGAACAATGAATAATTAAGCACTGATTGTAGTGCAAGAAGGAAAAGCACTTCTATACATTATCAAAACAATTATTTTTCCCTATTCACAGCTCACATATCACATTGTGTCCAGGACTCATTTCCTAACATGATAGCTCATTTTTGGTATTTGATTATCAATTTAATCTCCTTGAAATCAAGTGACCTTCACAGCAGCTGCAGTGCACTGTTATGAAGATAACTAGGGAAGCAAGCCAAATGTGATATCCTATGGGAAAAAGAGGACAACTCCTTCTCAGGACAAAGAAAGAGGAAAGCAGGGGAAAAGCATAAAATCTGCCTCTGAGAGATCACGAGTTTTTGCTTTTCTTACACATATAGAAGATTCCTGTCTGCCTGTTTCAGACTTTCAGGTCTCAATGGTCATCCCAGGGGTATTACCTCTTAACCTCACTCTAATGACCAGTACTTTCAAGTGCTGCCTCTCCGCCCTTTGTCACAGTCAGGGCTAGATATTATTTCTGTACCAGAGACAGGGACTCTGATATTTAAGAGGGTCAGAAACAAAAGCTGTTGTAAATAATTTAAAGTGGCGAATTTCAATGAAAACAGATCAAAGTGAACTGATTAGTATACTATAAGACTGTCAAACTAAAATTAGCAGTGATTTAGACCAGTATAAAATATCACTTGTACAAATATTAGCAGCATGATGTTAACACAGTAATGTCTCATTTATCCAAGATCATAGAGAATTAAGTTAGTATCTTATGCAGCCAACATTTTTAATGCGACTTCCTTCTCATAAATGTTTTCAAATGAATTATTTCTAAGGCAATTATTATAAGATGTAGTAATAAAGAGAATACTTGGAATCTACTAAAACATATGATGCTTTACATCCTTTGACCAAGTGACACCAGACTCAATGCTTTTTGATTTATGTTTGCCCCAGTTTTTCTCCACCATCCTTTGTTGGTGTCTTATCGCTCATTGCTGCTGGCAATTTGACTAGCACTAACACGTAGTCTTAAATTGATCATTTTTGTTTTCAGCAAGTTAGAAACCAAATAATAAAATTTTTAAAAACTATGACTAAAATAAACTCTAAATTAAAATACTCTATGGGACTCTTTAGGGAGTCTAGTACAAGGATCTTCCTGT